TCCCTAATCAGAGAGCTGAAATGTCAGTTGAGATTAAGACTTAGGTTTTGTGTGATGAAAATAAATGAACCAAGAGTAATCCTAAGAAAGCCATCAAAGGGTGGGTGATTGGGAGGTTTTTTGTTTGTTTTAAGAGGGTTTTTGATTTTTTTGCAACCTAATATGTGTGATAATTCCCCTCTGCAAATGCTTACCTGTCTGTAAATAATATTTCTCACTTTGCTTTTGTACAGGAAATTCAAAACAAGCAAAAACTGGGTCCCACTGATGAGACGCCTCGGAAGGGTCCAGAGTCTCTCCCCGTCGGACATCATGATATTATCACAGATATCGCAACTTTCCAGACCACACAAGGGTTTATAGTAACTGCATCAAGGGATGGAATCGTTAAAGTGTGGAAATAGAAGTTGTACTTATATATAGTATGTAAATATTTGTAATAAATAAATAGTGTTATAATGAAGTTTTCAAGGACTATTTCCAGATTATGGAATAGAATGGACTTTAAAGACTATAAAGGTGATGATAAAATCGGTTATCTGTATCCTACCACCCTGTTAGCACTTCTTATTCACTTCTTTTATTAAAGATGTTTGATATCTATAGCATTTCCTTGAAATACCGGGCAGTCTATGAAGAAATAGTCTAGCCTTGTTTTGACTGCATTGTTCTTCAAGGGCATTTCAGAATATTATTTAAAGACGTCCCACAACACACATTCTAAATATGCAAAAAGCAAAGAGCTGCTACAAGTACTACAGCATCTGACTGCTCCCGCGTTGAATTTGAGAAATTGAGAACCAGTGCACTAATGTCCCTGTACATGCTAATAACCATAATAAAGTCCACTTGAGCTTCCCTGTTCAGTACTTGGGTCTCTTTATATTCAGTGTTCCTCTGCATTGCTTCTGTAGGCTCAGCTGCCGGAGCCACGGGGCTGTTGATGGTAGTTTGAGATCAGCTTAACCTTGTGTCAGATCCTCGGCTGTACTTTGTGCATTGCATCCAGCTTGCTCCTGACTTTAGTATAATGCGAAGCTCTGCTGTCCTGGGAACCTGGAACAGCACCGCTAGGACGGCGTTCTCTGTCATTCAGTGGGGGTATCAGAAATAGCCCAAACACAGGGTTTCGGCAGGAAGCATTTCTTACAACATACAATGGTCATGTGAGAGGCAGACAGGGGCAGTAAACTTTCTTACCACTCTTCTACTCTCTGATCCAGATTTTGAGATTTCCAAATCTTTTTCAGTCTCCCTGTCTTAAGCTTTGTCTTAGGAGGTAACTTATTCTTTACCTGCATTTCCAGATTCTGCTTTACAGGGACAGAATATCATACCCCTAAACCAGGTGACTGAACCCCTCGGCACTGATGGGCTCAGAAGGTCACTGACAACAAACAACACTAATTTGACATACATTATGTAAGCATGGCTGGAAAAAAATGTCAGCCTACTGCAGAATGTCTACTGGAAGCAGGGAACGCTCTGAACTGGTGAACTGAGTTCTCTGAAAAAAAGAATTCAAGAAATATGTGTCTTATTTAAAAAGAGTCTCAGAATTCACTGGAAAAAGCAGCTTGACTGAGGACTGCTTTTAGAGACTCTACCTGCTGTTCGTTAGACACTGCATCACTTGGATAATTTAGTGTGGTGGGCAGACGTCGCCCCAAGTTTCACATGTTCAAAAGAGGAAGCGAGCTGAAGAACAGCACAACATTTCTTTGCAGACCTTCTCCTGCTTTCTGTTCTGTGTTGTGCTAAACAAAGTTTTCTCTTTGTTTGTGTGAAGGAGCCGACACTACCTAAGAGACTAAGTATTTTGCCTCTGTGTTTTATGAACTCAGGAATAAGGTAGGCTTTCTCAGTCCACATGTATCACAGAGTACCAAGGAAAAGGGGGGTAAGTCCAGTTTGTATTACTCATGTCCGCTTGGCATGCAGTTCTAAACAGGTCCTCACACACCTGAAAGGAGTCACCACTTCAGCTGCATTGGTTGGTTGATGGTTTTGCCCTGTGACAAAATAGTTTGAAAGAAGTAGAACAGGTTATATTTTCAGGTATTGTCATGCATTGACACCATATGAAGCTTGTAGGATATTTTAAGTAGTGTCAAGCATAGGACTGTTTTGTATGGTGGCTACAGTATAAAAAGAATTTGCATTCTAACCTTACCTCTACAATGTCAAAATATTTTCTAGCAATCATTAAAAAGTTACGAACTGGGGCAAGCAATGAAGTTTCATAACCAGTAAACTGTATGTCTGAGTGTGGCTTTTGCCTGTATATAGTGAAGTTGTGGAATGGAAAAATCATTATGTCAGTCCTAATAAGAAATCTTGTCACTGTCAGGCAGCACAACAGTTACAGTAGTTCCTCTTTCTAAGATGCTATAATATGTCTTTTATAGACTTTTGATTCTTCCTTTTTATTTTGTTTAAGAGATAACAGTCTGTTATTAATACCTAGGTGAAATATGAAAGGGTTTTTTCATATTTTCGGTGAAAGTGGACATTGTTGATTTGAATACCTGATGTTAGGCATGCTCTGCTATCATGAACTAGCCTGTTGGCTCCAGTAAAACAATTCATAACATTATAGCCAGTCACAAGTATTGGGAAAACTGGGTCAATACACTTAGAGCCTGTGTCTTCTGAAGGTGACAGTTTTTATCCCTAGTGATTTTGTGGTCATCTTTCAACACTTTCTGTGTTGCATAAGGAAAGAAATTCTGTCTCTCAGAAAGCACAGTCAAGAAACTTGGTCACTTAATCAACTATGCAAGGAGTGAGAAAGGAATTTTGATTATTTCCTATCCATTTGCAGTATTTTGTCTTGTTCAGTTCAGCAAACTGCTATATAGAAATAGTCTCATCTTCCCTTTTCTTTATATGTTTACTAAAATATATGATATTACATAATTTTTTAACCACTTAAACTCAGAGTCTTTGTCTTACTAGAGAGGCGTGTGGGTGTGTGTATAAAAATTCACTAAGCTATTTCAATAAAAGATTACGTACAAAAATCCAAATAAATAGAAGCCCCATAGCAGCTCCCAAGGGGTTATTTAGATCTAAACTCCCATGATGTCTTAAGACTCATTAAGATCTTCTGGTTGGTGACTGTTGGAAGAGCCTGTCGAGAAAGCAGAACAAAGAAATCAAGTTTACCATAGAATGTATCATCAGACTTTGGACTCACTTTCAAAGGTTTTGATTTTCTACTGTTCATAACATCAATACACTTAAGCCTGAGCAATAACAACAGTGTGTTTCTCCACTATTTGTTGTTACATTGCCCAAACTGGTCTCTTTCTCAAAGGTATGTTATGATAGATTTAAAAACATCTTTTTATCTGCATACACAGCATTCCTAACACAAATTATTTACATTCATGGGAAGCAATAGTTAGCAGAGCTGTAGTTAAGGTTTTTTGAAGCTAAGTTTTAATGCTTGCCTAGATATTAATATATTCGTTTTTATCAAAAATTCTTTCTTTTCAATATCCATTTGCTAGCCATAGAAGAGAGCGAAGGTGCTGAGTTAGTTACAGTATATTATTTCCTCTGAACCTGTACTATGAAGAGTCTGCAGAGCAGTAGAGATGATTGGAAAAAAGAGTCTGTCTCCCTTTTATACATCCTTCACACATCTTTGTGGCTCGTGCCATGAGAAGCCTTCTCTGGGATCTTTTTAGGGACACGTTATGGGGCCAACGGTTTCTGTTCATTAATTAAAAACAAATACAAAATGAAAATATGAACAAATACCCCAGGAAAATGGCAACAGAAAAAAGTCTGTTCTTTGAACTGGATTTCACTGGATTCTCCAGCACATAAAATAACGATGTCTTTGTGGTTTCTCTGAGTGGCAGCTTTTGGGAAAATATTTTTAATTGTCCATTTTATGGCAAAGCCAACAGCACTGCCTCCATTCAGCTGTTGAACGGATTCTGTAACATGCACTCTCACTAATTCTTTAGCATTGCAGCTTACTAGATCAAATTTCTAATTCCACTTTCATTCTCTTTGCTCCTGGAAGACCATGATGGCTCACCATAGCTACTCTATGCTGATGGGAGATCTCTAAAGCATCAAGTGTTCTGCTCAGGAAGTCTCTAACCTTCTGGAATTTATTGCTGGTCATTTTCTATGAACTCCCCAAGATGACAGCAGCATTTGCATATTCCTGGGGTGGGAAACAGCTGTGACGTTACAAGGATAGAGATCTGGGTTGCACTTGTCTGTAAAAGAGCATAAATTAATTAGTACTTCTCTTTATGAAAAAGTTAAAGTACATTAAAATAAAACAATGAAGACAATGAACTTGCACATGCTTAGTTTTTGACAAGGCTGTATTACATTCAGATCCAGCCCTGCAAACTAATCCTGGGGGATTAGCTAAATTCTGGGCTATCCCCCCCCCTTAATGTTGACTGAGGGCCAGAAGCTACGTCCACTGAAATTAGTGTAGAAAACTCTCTCTGAGGTAGTGAACACTGGATGGGCAATTAAACAACAAGGCATTGCAATTAATAGGTGTACCACATGATGCTCTAACAGCTACCCTTACTGCAGCACAGAGGATCATCTCAGGAATGGCTCAGAATCCACTGTAACAGAACACCTACTGCAATTTTGGAATCAGTTGTGTTAATATGCTGGGAAACAGCATATTTAGTAGCATGAATTAGCACTCAGGACTGAATAGGTCTCATCCTCCTTAACTTCAGCAACACAATAGTTATGGGTCTAGGCTGAGACTGTAGTTAATGGAGGGTTCTTGAGTCAGTGATAAAGCTGTGCGGACTATAAATGGAGAATATATAAGTATTCATGTTTAGACAGGTAGAAGATAAGATCTACTGATCTACGCTGAGCTCTTTTTTGCTCCCCACAGAGGTATTGTTTGAGATTTCTATTCGCAAAGCAAATGCTGAGCCAAAACCTCCACAAAAGTGAATGCTCCTTATAAATTGAGGGGGCCCATTAATTTGACGTCTCCTTGGATGGAAACCACACAGCTTAACTACAAGTTTAGGATGTGCTGAAATGAGCAGTCTGATTTGGTAGGTATCTTACACCTCTAAAATTATACTGGTTCCATCAGTGCACTTAGCACCTTCAGATAATCACTTCTGCATAATCACATCACACTGCTGACAATGAAGCAAATGTGTTACCATCTTTCCTTTAAGAACAGATGCTGATACTAAAATTCCCTGTGAATAAACTGTTTGTCTTTCACAGCTAGGAGTAAACGAACATTGAAGTGAGTTGTGATGGATGAAGTTCTCAACAGTCTATACTCAGATGACGGAGAAATAATTAAGAAGTAATTGAAGGGATGATTAACAAGCAATTGAATTCCTGTGAGTTACTAGACCTACCACAGAAGATAGCAGCTTGAAACAGTTCAGTTCTTTTGGAGAAAATCTACTATTTCTGCACATCTTTGCAGGAAAATACTATGTGCAATACATATTCTAATACAGTATTCTGCTCAGTTTCTACCTTGTTTGGTAATCTCTGTGAGTCATATATTTGGGGTTTTATTGTACACAATTTTTTACCTAGCAATTTCTTATCCAAAATTGACACACTATGCACCAATTTAATCTTTCGGTGAACTCCACATTACACCAGTCACATCTAGGATGAATATGGTCCCCAAAGTTTATAAATGATATTTAAAAATAAAGCATTCTCACCAGCTGTTAGACAGCATGTCACAGAAGTTTACATTGATAGCAAAAGTGGAAAAGAAAGCGGTAATGTGGAATTACTCCATGGGGGCAGAGCTCAAGGTTGAAAGAGAAACCAGTATAGAAAAGTCAGAAATACACTCACCTGGTGAAGCAGCC